GTTTCGAACCGGGGACCTTTCGCGTGTTAGGCGAACGTGATAACCACTACACTACAGAAACCCACCGGGAGCCCCTCCCCGCTCCCGCGCCCTCCGCAAGCGCTTCCAGCCGCCCCCCCATCCAAGGAATTGTTTTTCCCAAGGTTTTTTCCCTTGGATTTATTGTTATTCACTGAAAACCGAGCGTTTTCCCCCGTTTTTTTGCTTGCAACTGACCGTATATCCGCATATACGGTGAGCATTGCGAGCTGCGGTTGCTGCCACTTGCTGCGGTTTTGGGGGAAAAAAGGTCGGAAAGGGGCTCGTTTATAAGGGAGAGGGAGGAGCGCTGGGAAAAATGCAGGAATTGGGGAGGGAAAAGGGAAAAAATGAACTTCCGGGCTCGTCCGGGATTTGAACCCGGGACCTCTCGCACCCWAAGCGAGAATCATACCCCTAGACCAACGAGCCGCTGTGATTGCTGTCCTCTTGGCGGCCAATCTGGGAGCTTCCCGCCGGGAATAAAGCGGGAATATAAATAAATAATTATTAAATAAAGACCGGAAATGGAAAACAGGCAGCGAGGCCCCAGCGAGATTTGAACTCGCGACCCCTGGTTTACAAGACCAGTGCTCTAACCCCTGAGCTATGGAGCCCTCTGGAGCCACTGTTTCCTTGGGATGCCCCGTGACGCTGCTCCCGCCTTCCCGGCCGCCTTTTCCCGGGAATTCTCCCTCTGGAATTTGCTCAGGGGGAACCTGCTGCCCTTGGAGAGCACTCGGGGCCGCCCTGGGCTCGCTGGCGACACCGGCTCCGTTTCCGGATGAAAATTCCAGCCCTGCTCGTGCCTCTTTCCCCCCATTTGCAGCCTCCTTTTCCCTGGAAAAGAGCCGGGAGAAGCCGCAAGCCGGAGCCTCCCTGACCCAGCTGGTGCCTGGGATGGTCCTTGGGGGGGCCCCAAATTCGCCCGCGTTTTGGCGGCTTTTCCGAAGAAATGAGAGGAGCTCAGGTGGCACCTGGGGGGTTTATTGCTGGCAAAGCGGTCCATGGACAGAGGTAGCCCTCCATGAAGACCATCCATGAAGACCATCCATGAAGACCATCCATGACCTCCATGGATGGAGGTAGCCCTTCATGAAGACCATCCATGACCTCCATGGATGGAAGCAGCCCTCCATGAAGACCATCCATGAAGACCATCCATGACCTCCACGGATGGAAGCAGCCCTCCATGAAGACCATCCATGAAGACCATCCATGACCTCCACGGATGGAGGCAGCCCTCCATGAAGACCATCCATGAAGACCATCCACGAAGACCATCTATGAAGATCACCCACGAAGACCACCCATCAAACCATCCATGAAACCACCCATGAAGACCACGGCGAACTCCACGCCCCCCGTGGCGCACCTCACGGGCACAGCTTGATGTACGTGACGGTGGAGCACACGGAGAAGAGCGGGAAGACGCGCTCCTGGAAGCGCACGTTGAAGGTGAAGAGGTGCTGCATGCTCTCGGCGTCGTAGAAGGACACCTCCTCGCCCTCGTAATCCAGGTAGACCCGCACCCTGCTCAGCTTCTGCCCAGGGCACAGCGGCGTGCGCTGGGGCGCCGTCACGGCCCAGTAGCGCCCCCCGTTCTGCTGCACGGCCCAGATGCCCTCCTCGGGGGAGAACTGCGTGAGGCCCTTCCTGCGCACGGACTCCTTGGCCACGCCGAAGGCCCAGCCGTCCGCGGCGCCCACCTCCACCTCCCAGTAGTGCCGCCCCGCCTGGAAGCCGCGCGCCGCCAGCACCCGCGAGTTGGTGTCGAAGCGCTTGGGGTTGTCGGGCAGCTCCTGCTTGCGGCAGCCCATGCGCACGCTCTTGAGGTCGGCCGAGAGGACCAGGAGGTGGTTGGCCGAGTCGGGGTCCAGGGTCAGCTCCTCTGTTGGGGACGGTGACAATAATGGCCGATTAGGAGCCAGCGAGGTCAAAATAGGGGTTGTTCTTTCCATATCTGCTGCCTAATCTCAGCCCAACGGGTACCGAGGTCCTCTTGGACCTCAGGGCTTGGTCCCGAGGTGCCTCCACCCGTCATTGACCCTGCAGCAGTTGGGGGGTTGGGGTCTCCTCTGAGACCATTCCCGAGGTGCCTCCACCCGTCATTGACCCTGCAGCAGTTGGGGGGTTGGGGTCTCCTCTGAGACCATTCCAAGCTCCCCCTTCTCCAGCCCCACACAGGGACATCCTCCTTGGAGGAGGAAGAAGGTTCCAGCTAAGCCATGGGTGGCCTGCACCGATGGAGTCCTTCCCTTTGGCAGACATAGTGGCCATGGGTTAATGGTTGGACCTTCTTGTCCAACCTAAGTCTAACCTTATTGATAGACCTCGTTGTCTTCTAAGTCCTGAAGGTCTTTCCCTCCCTTTCATTGATTTTTCCCTTCCTTTCCTTGATTTTTCTTCTCTTTCTTTCCTTTTCCCCTCCCTTTCCTTCATTTTCCCCTCCCTTTCCTTCATTTCTCCTCCCTTTCCTTCATTTTTCCCTCCCTTTCCTTCATTTTTCCCTCCCTTTCCTTCATTTTTCCCTCCCTTTCCTTCATTTTTCCCCTCCCTTTCCTTCATTTTTCCCCTCCCTTTCCTTCATTTTCCCTCATTTCCTTGATTTTTCCCTCCCTTTCCTTCATTTTTCCCCCTTTTCCTTGAGTTTTCCTCCCTTTTCTTTATTTTTTCCCCCTTTCTTTGATTTTTCCTCCCTTTCCTTGATTTTCCCTCCTTTCCTCTTACCTCTTTCACCTTTTCCCAGCTCATCCCGCAGGTTTGCTGGAACGAGGCGGCGAGATGAGAAAACCCAGGCAAAAAAATTTAAAAAAATAAAATAAAAATTAATAAAAAACCTCTTTTTCTTTCTTTTTTTTTTTTTTTTTTACAGGTCCCTTCTCCCGATGTAAACCCAAATTTGGGATTTAATTTAGATGTTAACTCAGATTTAATTTAATTCGGATTCTTTTCCCCCCGGGCACCTGGAAAAACGTGCCTTTTACAGCATTAAACCCGGGTTTTCTCCCCCAAAACGCCGCCCCGGGTGCCCCCTCCCCGCCCCCCGGAATTCCCGCCCTTCCCGCCCCACTGGCGGCCACCTCGGAATTTCTTGAGGATTTTCTCCAGGACGACGGTCTTGAGGGCGAAGTTGCACACGGGCATCTTCATGTCGGCGCAGACGGGCGCCGGCGGCGGGCACTTCACCTGCTCGCTTCTGCCGCGGGGACGAGGCCGAAATCGAGGCCAAAACCTCCCCAAAATCGAGCCCAAAACCTCCCCAAAATCGAGGAAAAAATCGAGGCCAAAATCTCCCCAAAATCGAGGCCAAAACCTCCCCAAAATCGAGGCCAAAACCTCCCCAAAATCTCCCCAAAATCGAGGCCACAACCTCCCCAAAATCTCCCCAAAATCGAGGCCAAAACCTCCCCAAAATCGAGGCCAAAATCGAGGCCAAAATCTCCCCAAAATCGAGGCCACAACCTCCCCAAAATCTCCCCAAAATGGGCCTCCATTCCCATGTCCCCAAAGGGACCTCCAGGGCCTCCCCAAGACCTCCTGGCCTCCACCCTCATAGGGACCTTTGGGACCTCCCCAAAACCTCCCCAAAACGGGCCTCCATCCCCGCGTCTCCATAGGGACCTTTGGGGGCTCCCCAAGACCTCCCGGTCTCCTGGAATAATTTGGGATACGGGAACGAGGCAGCGCTCCGTACCTGCTCAACGTGACTGTTACGTCCTGGAAAACCGGGGGGAAAAAAAATGGGATAATGGGTGAAATCCCGGCGCGAACTCGGCAAATATTGACCATGTCAGCCCCGTGACGCCCCCGTAGGGAATTTATCCCCTTTGAGGGAATTTCGCCCCAAAACGGGTCTTGGCGGGCTGGGCCTTTGCAAGAGGCCGCTTCATGGGAGTCTGCTGAGAAAAAGCAGCTTTTTGGGACCAAATTCCCATTTCAGATGAAGATGGGAGGGGCAGTTGGAGCTTGAGGTCCGGAAATCCATGTTTTCATCCCCAAAATAACCCCCCAGAAAGCGCCCCTGCTTCCGGAGTGAGCGAATCCGGGCGAGATCCCGTATTTTGCTCCGGAGAAGAAGGGTTGGAAGGGAATGGGGGGCCACGCTCTACATCCCATTGGCTCTTCCCAAGCCCTATTCCCCAAATTTGCTCCTCCAAGCCGTGGCCCGTGGCTAATTCCAGGCCTTGCAAAGCCCCTGAGGTCCATAAGCGCGAAGGGACCCGCTCGCTTTCGGGACAAAACCATGGTGGCTCCTCATGCAACATCTCCCAGGGTTCCTCAAGGCGGGGATCCGCGTGCTGGAAAAGCCCGGGAATACCCACGGAACACAAACCCACCCCCATTCCAGACCAAAAGACACCTCAGGACCTTCCCGAGCCCCTGGGAGCTGCTGAGTTTTATTAAGCGGAGCCTAGAGAGGTCCTGGAGATGTTGGGGCTCCAAAGCGCTCACCTTGAGGAACTCCAGCGTGGGCTGCTGGGCCTTCTCCTCCAGCTCCGTGATGAGCTTGTTGAGGAGCGTGATCTCCTTGGAGAGGTCCGTGATGTTGTCGTCCTGCCTCTTGGCGATGCCCTTCTCCAGCTTCTCCAGCTGGCCCAGCAGGAGGGTCTCCTGCTCGCGCAGGAACTGCCGCAGCCCCTCGAACTCGCCCAGCAGCCGCTGCCGCTCCGCCTCGATGCTCTTCTGCCGGCCAATCGGGAAGCAGGTTGTTCCCGCGGGCTCGGGGGACAGCGGAGGGACGGGGACGGCCCCGTGGGAGCCGGGAGAGCAGCCACTCACCAGCAGCTCCTGGGTCTTCTTGTCGTCGTTGACCTTGAACTCCAGCAAATCCTGCCTCTCCTTCTTGAGGAAAGCCAGGCGCCCCTGGATCTTCTCCTAGGGCCAAAATGGGGAAAAGGTGACCGGCTTTCTTCGGGATTTCCCCCCTTTTTGGGAGGTTATTCCGCAATGTCTATGAGACAAGGGGATCCATTGGGTCCCCCGAGACCCAAGTCTACAACATCTACCAGCCAAGGGGATCCATAGACCCAAGTCTACAAGGTCTACCAGCCAAGAGGATCCATTGGGTCCTCCAAGACCCACGTCTACAAGGTCTCCCACACAAGGGGTTCCATAGACCCAAGTCCACAAGGTCTATGAGGCAAGGGGATCAGAACAGGGGATCCATTGGGTGCCCCAAGGCCCAAGTCTACAAGGTCTATGAGACAAGAGGATTCATTGGGTGCCCCAAGACCCAAGCCTAGAACATCTACCAGACAGAGGATCCATAGACTCAAGTCTACAAGGTCTACCAGACAAGGGGATCCATAGACCCGAGTCTACAAGGTCTATGAGACAAGAGGATCCATTGGGTCCTCCAAGACCCACGTCTACAAAGTCTCCCACACAAGGGGAATCCATTGGGTGCCTCAAGACCCAAGTCCACAAGGTCTACCACACAAGGAGATCCATAGACCCAAGTCTACAAGGTCTATGAGACAAGAGGATCCATTGGGTGCCCCAAGACCCAAGCCTAGAACATCTACCAGACAAGAGGATCCATAGACTCAAGTCTACAAGGTCTAAGAGACAAGGGGATGAGACAAGGGGATCCATTGGGTGTCCCAAGACCCAAGTCTACAAGGTCTACCAGCCAAGAGGATCCATAGACCCAAGTCTACAACATCTACCAGACAAGGGGATCCATAGACCCAAGTCTACAAGGTCTACCAGCCAAGAGGATCCATAGACCCAAGCCTAGAACATCTACCAGACAAGGGGATCCATAGACTCAAGTCTACAAGGTCTAAGAGACAAGGGGATCCATAGACCCGAGTCCACAAGGTCTACCGCACTAAGGGGAACCCATTGGGTGCCCCAAGACCCAAGTCCACAAGGTCTCCCACACAAGGGGATCCATAGACCCAAGTCTACAAGGTCTATGAGACAAGAGGATCCATTGGGTCCTCCAAGACCCACGTCTACAAAGTCTCCCACACAAGGGGAATCCATTGGGTGCCCCAAGACTCAAGCCTAGAACATCTACCAGCCACACGGATCCATAGACCCAAGTCTACATGGTCTATGAGACAAGAGGATCCATAGACCCAAGTCTACAACATCTACCAGCCAAGGGGATCCATAGACCCAAGTCTACAAGGTCTAAGAGACAAGGGGATCCATAGACCCGAGTCCCCAAGGTCTACCGCACTAAGGGGAACCCATTGGGTGCCCCAAGACCCAGGTCCACAAGGTCTACCACACAAGGGGATCCATAGACCCGAGTCCCCAAGGTCTCCCAGCCGAGAGGCCCCCGCGCCGCCCCGCGCCACCTGGTACTCCTCGGCTGCCTCGTCCACGGGCACCACGGCGTGCGCGCGGTGCTCGCGCGAGCGGTCGCACACCACGCAGATGCAGCGCCCGTCGTCCTGGCAGTAGAGCTTGAGCGCCTCGCGGTGCTTGGCGCAGAGCCCGCCGCCCTCCTCCTCCTCGTCCCCGTCCCCGCGCCGCGGGGCGAGCTGCCGCACGATGTCGGCCACGTTGGCGAGCGCGCGGTTGGGGCGCAGGCTGC